AGGAGAGTTGTAGGGTAGTAATGGGTAGTCTTGATCTAATGTCAGTAACAGTGTAGAGGGGACCTGAAGGCTCAGTAAGGGGACCCAGGCTACAACTATCCTACACAACAGAAATACAGAACACAAACACTAGTGTCGATCTCAAGTACCGGTTGAGGTAGAAGAGGTCAGTTGAGTCCGCAAGGTACGGACGCCGAGAGGGGTCAAGAGTGAGAAGGAATAGGTAGATCCGAGCGGAACGTACGAGTTCCGAAGGTGACGATTAACAAGACGAGAGTAGTGCGGAACGACGAAGCCGCACTTCGGAACGAGGCAATACGAGACGAGACGAGGCGAGATGGAACGTTAACTGAGGAGACTGTCAAACTACACACTAAGAGTCGCAGTAGAGAGTAACTTGATTCCTGGAAAGTACGAATTACATGAGGGTATTTATAGAATTTATGAGTCCTTTGTAGCTACTAGTCCTTTGTGAACAACAAATCCACCGCTGTCTCCTTTGTATCAACCCATCCGGGACTCCGGATCCGAGTCCCCTTTGTATCGATCGACCAGCCGTCCGAAGGCTCAGAGTCTTGCCTTTGTGAATCGGAACTGGAGTCCGGAACCCAACTAGTCCGAGTTGAGCGACCAAGACTATTGTGTGGGCGATGATGACGTAATCGAAGGATTGCTGACGTGAGGATGATGCGATTTTGATGCGACTGAGCCCTTCCGATCGGAACGTATCGGAACGTACGTGTTGCGAGAGCGTGACATCTCCCGGGTGTTTTAGAATGTGACTGTCCCCAGTCACACCCGAGGGCGTAAATTCGCGAACCGGCGCACTTCATGTTTCGATCTTCTGCTTCTTTTCGAGTTCGTCCTTCTTCTTCAACCATGTCGTCGTCGCAAGAAGTGAATCAGGTCTACAACCGAGTGCGGGCCCTTGCCCAAAGGACGCGGGAGTTGCTGCAGCGTGCAAGGACGGTGGATCGGCTATCGGCGGCAACGGAGTGGAGGGCGGAACTGGTGCGGTTGCGGGTAAGTTCTTGGACGTCGCATCGTCTCTGGGTCTTCTGACAAGACAGTACAGTCGGATTGGGATGCACTCGCTGCATCAAGTGCGCAGGCCAGCTTCGTGCTTGCCGCGCCGCAGCAGCTCATGCTTCAACTCGAAACATGGGCGTTGCAAATCGATGCGGAGTACGGTAGCCGCGAGGATGCTCCGATCGGCGAACCACTTCGAGGGCATGAAGATGCCATGGCCGTTGACGAACCGAGCGTTGCTCCTCCGACAAAGCAGGTAGTGGAGGTCGTAGTTCCGAGGCTGTCCGATGTGGTTAGGCGCACCGTCCAGGATGCTGAGACAGGTGCTCCTATGGGTGAACCAGACGTTCCGCCGGGTTCCGAGCTGGAGCGTGAGTTGTCCGCGTACCGAGCACACGAGCGGGATCAAACGCCGGATAACGAGAGGTTGGACGCGCTCCTTCGTGAGCAGCAAGGAGTGCAACCAGGCCATCAGAATGATGAGGAGGACGACTCGAGCGGTACGTAGTCCCTTCTTTACTTATTGATGATTCGACTGACTACTACCGGTCACTTGATCTAGATGCGGATTACATATATTCGGGCAGGAGGCGTTCCGTGTCGTTCGTATCGGACTTCCACGAGACAGACTGGGTAGCGGAGGAGGTTGAAAACGGGCAGGTCGAGTTGCGGTTCCGGAACGGTTCTCCAGTGCCAGAGTCAGTGCCAGACAGTGGCCTGACACCTTTGACGAGTCGGAGGTGCAGCAGCTGCGTCCGTCGGCACGTAGCGTGCATTCAAGAGCACGGTGAGACGATTGCATGCTCGGCATGCAAGAAGAGCAAGATCCGTTGCTCTCTCGCAAAGACTGGTAAGGCGGCGAGGGATGCACGGTCGAGGCGGGGGAGGACAATAGTGACGAACCCGTACCCTGTGGCTGGGCCGTCGAGGGTGCGTCTGGAGGATCTGGGTAAGTCGTTCCGAGATCAATACCGATAGCTTTTGAAGACGACATTCTTCTAGGTGAACTCTCGGAACACTCGTCGGACGACAGTGAGTTCCGAGAGGATCTGGAGCTCGAACGCGAGCTTCGTGTCCTCGGAAGGCAGGTGGCTGCCTATCGTGCGATGTTGGATACGACGATACGGGACGTGGAGCGGCTACGGGCTAGGATGGGCGCGAAGGCGAGGCGTCGGAAGGATGGACGGAAGGATGGACGGAATTAGACGTTCCGTTCGGAACAACTGAACCAGCGTAGGTGAGACGGTCGACGTAAAAGCTGCCTGTAGAAGCGGCCAAATATAATCCCCCCTCTGTAGTTTTGAATAGTATTTTCCGTATGTTCATAGCAATGCGTGATGTTACCAAAGCACGAGTGTGATAATCGTAAGGTAATAAGAGTGACTCGGCATTGATAGGTAAACAACAGAGGCAAGGCCATATGCATACTGAAAGTAAGGCAAACTAACGGAACGAGAACGGAACGAGAACGGAACAAGAACGGAACAAGAACGGAACAAAACCGAAAAGAAACAGAACAAAAACAGAACCAAAATAGAACAAGAACAGTGCGAGAACGGAACGAGAACGGAACAGAACGGAACAGAACGGAACAAAGCTCTCAATACATGACTTTGAGGCTGTTGTGACCAAAGAAATGCAAAAGTGGTCTAAGGGCCGCTGGACGAAAACCTGTGTACGAAAAACCCAGTGGGAAAAAAAAAACGTACTACAGGGAAAACCATGCGGGTTCGAAGCGTAAGTCTAACTATAATCTGCAATTAGTTAAAAGCAAAATCAAAGAAAA